AAAAAGAAGATAGAACATTCTCGTACAGAAAAGGATCGAGGAGAATCGCGCCCCTGTTTTGTAGCTATTGTAGGGAGTCACATTTCATCGATGTAATCAGCTTGCGTTGTGCCATTGTGTGACATACCACTGATGGGCAATTAGTGACCTTGGCCATTCAGCTGTAAGCCAAAAATGGCGGCCTAAAAGATGGAAAGCAATTTAAAATCTCAGCACAACATGTGAGCGAAATTCACAGCCTAAAACTAACAGTCAAAAACCAATGAACGCTAACCCACAACTTTTTACAAATTTCCTGCCTACCACAGAGAGATTTGTCATCATCGGCAACAATAATCTTTTATGTATCACCTACGTCTTTTCTTGCACAAGATTTACCAGCTTTAAATAAAGGTGGGGCGGTGGGGCCACTTGTCAATCAGTCTGATTAATGGAATTCTCAGGGCTAAAATCACTTCCTTACTCAATTTCGGAATGGATTCGCATATCATAATCTAGTCTCTATCTTTGTGCTTAACATCTTCCCTCTAAAAGATAGGGGGTTTGCACATTTCCCGCTATGATTCGCTCAAGAGACGCCTCACTGTTGGCCCAGGCAAATGTGAACACAACGGAAGAGAACACACTGATCATCGCCCAGGGACAAATGAGAAATCAGGCCTTTAAGCAAAAATGTTCCCTGTTCCTAGATTCCCTAACGTGATGTACAGTAGGCACTGTCAAATCGAGAAAGTGATGCGTCTTGGTCAACTATTATTCTGCCTTACACATATGGCTATGTGGTTACCCTAATTGTCACATACAGACTGGTGGAGGGCAAATCACCACAATACATGCGACATATAGTGCCCAGTATTCCTAGTGTTTTATCCGCATCATAATTCAAACACATAAAAGTTGTCTTTTAAGAGTAATATAAAAACCCAACAGTTTATCATAAATTATTTACAGTTTTTCGTCTCTTTATAGCCCATCACAAGTACGACATTTGAAGGATCTATTGACCTTTTAACATGACGTTATGCGAAAGGGAGCATGGGGACTGATAAAAGTGACTTGCACTCTTCTCCTGTAGTTCTCTAACATGTAGAACGATATTAGACGCTACAGCTTGTTACAGCGCACAACTTTTTCTATGACCTCCCAAAGGACCGTAACTATGCGCCCTAACTTTAACCACGAGGTTGTTGCATATCTACTTGCTGGACGCCTTTGTCGATATCAAGTAGTTTGTGTAATTTACAAAAGAAGTGACAAAACAAAATTGTGTAAAAAAGGAAGGAAAAGTATGCTAAAATGCTGGTTTTATTTGTGCAAATGCAATTAAGCACATTAGATGGCATTCGCTGCTACTGCGCTTCTTCCCCCCACTCGCGGACATCACGCTAAACCCCCTCAACGTAACAGTCAATAGCAAGCCCACATGTGAGCGTTTAATCTGAGCAACAACTCGTGTGTTTAATTCTTCTCTACTTCATTAAGTACCTTAAGCTGCGTTCGAGTTTTCCGAGTGCTAGTCGCTGTGATTTAGTTAATGTCAGTTGAGTTCTGCCTAAGTCAGGGTATGACAGATCTTGCTGCATCGCTCAAAATGACTTGCCTTTAAATCCTCAAATACTTAATCAGCGGGCGGTGTTGGCCCACGCAAAACTCAGATGAGTTCTGCTGAAGCGTCTTTGAATGCTGAGTCCGACTCCCTGGATAGGATATACTAGGTCTCTCATCAGTTGGCTCGGCAGTTCCTGCCCCATCGTTTACACTGACCTTTACTGCGTAAGCTGAAAACACACACATCCGCTTACAACTCGTCCTTATCTCGCCTGCACTCCAGAGCAAATTGGCTCATTTCATGGACATTGACGGTGGGCAGTTGGACGGATAAGGCTACAACAGAAAGGACCGACCGATTGAATCTCTTGTGCGCGTAGGCAGGTGTCAATTTATGCAGGAAAGGCGACAGGATCTCCCGACTCACTAATAGCGACAAGTCTCCAGTGACCTAGATAATGTTATCCATGATCTTGAAAGTGACGGGGTCTAGTTTCGAATACTGGGACATCTCTTGACCAAAGCAGCATCAAGGTGGCGCCGCTCTGACCACTGACTCACAGCGATTACAATGGTGATGATAGTGGAGATTTGGCTTAGTCAAGAAACCGAGGTGATCTAGCTTAAATATTTCGAAAAATGGAATGAAGCTACCTATCTACGAACAAATTTGTGCTCAGAAAATAAGGAGCTTGGATTATCTTACTCCCCGTTTCTTTTTTACTGAGTTCAAGAAAATTCCGTCCCAAACAACCATTGTGCACGCACCTCCCCAACGAACAGGTGCGTGTTCCAACCAAAAGAAGCACTTGTTTATGCTCACAAAATTAAAGAAAAAAAGAGTCCACTTTTAGCAGAAGTTGCAAACAGATGATCAAATCCTGAGTTGACAACTGAGTTGAATGTTGCCTGCCATACAAACTCATTCTCATTTTCGTGGCTCATGCGCAATGTGAAAAGTAAACAGTTGACTTCAGCTGACTTTGGAAAGCAAGTCAATTTTACCCAGTAGTCTGCGTTCGGCAAAGACAGCAAAAGTAATTTGCTATGCTTCTACCCATTAGTGTAGCATTGTCGTGCGCCTTTCCTGACTTGATACATTTGTCGTCGAGTCACATGGGA